CACATGCTAGAATATAGAGAGTAATACATATCAGGGCTTATATCTTGACATTTGTTGCGTTAAATTACTAGTTTGACAGCTACGTTTTCCTTGCACTAAAATTTTCTGGCGGCATTATTATTCGTATTTTGATATACGGTATATGCAACAAACCAAACACACGCTCGTGCGAAGCCCTATTTTTGTGTGTTGCTTCAATTGTTAAATTTACATGTATTTTATAACTTGCAAGTAACGTACGTTGTTTTTGTTTTATCAGATTCCATTTTGATTTTCACTCCTTATTACCGCCGACAATATTCTGCCTTATCCTGAGTTTCGCCTGATAATTGTTCCTCCGCCCATAGTAATTACATGGAAACCAAAAGTGAAAAGTGAACCGGTTCGCGGAAAATGAAACTCATGATAAGGCTGATTACACTTAGAAGCTGTCAAGTTTTACCTAGCTCCATGAGCTAGATACAATTTTGACGTTCGTATTCCCCACGAAAATGTCAAATTTGTATTCTATCCATTTTCAGAGACCTTTTTTGCGGTTAAGCCCGGTAAAAATACTTCCAAAAAGCGGATGTCAAGATATAAAAGCCCGCCCTGGTATAACTTGTATCTAGCAACCCAATAGATGGCTGAAAAACAATAAGTTTTATCCTGTGAAGACGGCCAGTGAGGAGGCAAAGCTGGTGAAGGCCTGCTTACCAACCGGTTCGGTTCAGTGTAACTGGGTCATGGTAACCCCGGACCACGCGAACATTATTTTTTGACATTCCTCCTTGCACTGCGACAAATTCCAGTTGGAAGGGTAACGGAACTAGTCCAAAAGACGCAGTGCCCGTTATCCTTCCAAATGGAATATTTCCGCAGTGCAAGGGTATAAAAACCCGATGGCAACCCCATAGCGACCATTTGCACATCAGTTTCAAAGAAAAGGAAAAGTGAGAAGTGCCGCGTGTGATTAAATATACAATTTCGCGGAAATATTCAATTAGTGCAACACAAATGTACAAAAAATTTATAAATCATGTTTAGTTGTGTTCATTTACTCCATTTATTTGCGTGAAAATAGTAAAAAAAAAAACTCTGATAAACGCGAGAAGTTGTTTTCTGCATCGCAAAGAGCAGAAAATTCCGAGAGTGCAGTCGTCGCGAGCGAGTGCAACCGCGTTAGTTTGTCAAGCGTTAGATGGGAAGCAGGTGTCCTAAAAGATAAGCAACATCTAGAAGGAACGCACGCAAAAGGAAAAGCAACCACCAAACCAACCACAGCGTGTAAGAAAATACAGAACGCCAAAGCAACAGCGACACAGGCAAAGCAAGTAGGGCCACAACCACCACTGCCCTACTGGCCTGAGAAATAGCGCGCTTGGTGCGCACCCAATAGCTACTACCACTGCTACAGTCAGGTAAGTTTTTTTCAGTTTTCTGGTGATACAGTATATTAATTTGTGTTACCATAAGTAGTTTCCCTTTGGTACGGCGAACGCTGGGCACGTGTCAGTGCGTATTCCGCACTGAAACGCGAGTTAAAAGAATCTGAACCGTGCTAAGTGGGCGTACAACCACGATAAACGCCAAAACG